TATAACTTGTGAAGAGGTGTTAAAGTCGTATGAGGAGATTTATATAATTCTTTTTAACTTGGATGGATATATCCCATGTAGAGGAGACACTTAGTCATGTTGGATACCACTGATTCTTTTTGTATAGAGTCAATGTATATATAATTATAACATTTAACACACTCAAAACATGTTTTATGTACTGAGAATCCATTTAAGATTTTTAAAAAAATATATAAAATATCCTGGGTGTCCATTTATATGCGATGTATTTACCTAAGATAAAAAATATATATTTAAAGCACCCTCCTAAAATATATTTTGTGTATGATACATCTATTAAGGACAAAAAAAACATTTTAAGCACATCCCAAAACATCCATTTATGCACAATACATTTGTTCAAGATTAAAAAAAAAAATCTAAAGCACATGTCATATTTAAAATATTCTTTTATATATATACTATAAAACGTGATTATAACGATACAATGATAGGAGCTTTTCTTCTCGATATGACATCAATATTGAAGTTTTAAATGAGACAAACATTTGTTCTTTGACTTTACCCACTCGACTTGCGTAGGTCAAGCATTTAGGGTAAAAAAGACTCTTTAAATATAGATTGCTAGCAAGGGCTCAATTCAACCCGTAAATTAATTTATTTATCAACATATTTTTTTTTTAAGATAAGTAATGAATATGAGATTTAAACCTAAAATAAAGTGTTTACTGATAGGGATAAAAAAATTGATTTGACATAACACCCCGGATTTGACGTAATGCACCCCCACGCCGGACACCCTGTGCGGCACGTGGCTCATGAACGAGCATTAACGACGACATGACACGCACCTACACCCATCATACCCAAGCAACCTCCTCGGCTGACCCCTCGTGGCCGGTCAAGGCAGGGGAAGGCGTTGACTGACACCCCCCATACCCTGCGGCAGCTCGGCCTTCCACGCAACGACCACAACGATAGACGCCATCAGAGGTACGGCCCCGCCCCGATAGGATGACACGTCAGGTAACATCAAACCCACTTATAAATACCCCCTGGCTCCCAACAGGAAGGGGGGGACAATCTCACAAAAATACTCCATTCTGCTTCACTAACTTAATCGTCGGAGGGGCCGGGCCGAGCAACCGACCCGACCTGTGTGCAGGTACTCGACCGCCACTTAATCCGCCCGACGCCACGGAACTTTTCGGCCAGCAGCCCCTGTGGCAGCCACCGCAACCACCCAAGAGGAGCCACGTCTGATCCCAGCCATTTGGAGCCCTGAACCAGCCGCGTCGACCCCGAGGTCACGACTGAAAAAGTTACTTGCCGTAACATTTACTGTTAAGGTAATCAGCATCTTTCGCAAACTTTAAAGTTATATTGCAATATCAGCTTACTTTTTTGTTAGAATTATTCGAGTATTAGGATGTTTTTCGTGTTCCCTATATTTTTCATAAAAATGATTCGAATTTAGATTATGTGTATGAAACCTTATGTTTGGAGATATTACGGCGAATTTAAATATATAGGTAATTCAAGTTCAAGATAATGTGTCATATTTTTTCTCATTCTGATTCACTTAAATCCGATATAATCGGATTTGGAGAGATTCCGGGTCAGAAATAGGGTTCGGATTCGGATTCGGATTCGGATTCGGACTCGATTTGGTCCCCATAAGCTCCGGGCTCTCAGCAAAGCTGTGCGTTACTTAACCCGGGCTGGCACCCACAGCTGTGCTTCGACTGCTGTTACATATTACCTACTCTCACGCACACACCTATGCGAAATAAGATCAGAACCGTTAATATCATCTTTAACGATCAAGATCTCTTTATTACCTTCTCGCATATAATTTACATGAACCCCACTGGCTCTGGTTCGGACGTAACGGGACGATTCCAAAGCAACGGTTCGGGTCCGAGCCGAAGGAGCTCGAAAGCCAGCGGCGGTTTGATCGCTCCCCCTCCCCCAACCCCCCATTCCCTTATAAAGGTTGGACTCTTCCGCGTCTTCGATATCTCCCGACTCGACCTAATCTTTCCGCGATCGCCTTCTCCGTCTACTGCTTTGGCAATTTTGATCTCTCATCTCGTTCGTTGAGGCCCAAGAATCGGTCGTTTAAGGGAATTGCAGACGAGGGGGTGGCGGTCTGAAGTCGGAGTTCGGAAATCGATTTCTTGCCTTCGCGTGTCACGAAATTGTGGGTTTCGTTTGCGTTTGTTGTTGATTCTAACGTGTTTCTTTTGTTGTGCGGGAATCTTGAATGTCGATGTCGGTTTCTGTAATGTAGGATACGGTGTGCATCATCCATCTTCTTGGATTCGTCGTCTGGCGTTTGGGTCTGGGGTTTGGTTGTTTGATAAGTTTGTTCCCTTTTTTTTTCTCGGTAGTGAAGCTTTTGCAAGGAAATAGGAATTGTGATTGTTCGTGTGGAGAGCCGTATATTGGAGCATAAATTATGGCGCAGAGTAATTGGGAAGCGGACAAGATGTGAGTAGGAGTTTGGATTTTTCTCGACTTTTAATTTAGGGAATTATATGCTGTGTTAGTTGTTTTAAATTTTGATTCCTTTCGATTCTATCTTGTTAGGCTTGATGTGTATATCCATGATTATCTATTGAAACGGAACTTGCAAGCCACTGCCAAAGCTTTCAAGGAAGAGGGGAAAGTTTCGGCTGAACCTGTGGGTGAGTAAAATCTTTTCTTTTCCCTGACCTAAATTGTATCTTGTTATCAGCATTTTCTTTAAGATCAACCGGGAGAAATCTATTTATTTAGTTTATATAGTACAAATCCCTGAAGTAGGTTTAGCAAGGCACTCGTATTGATCTACGTCTTGGTATCTAGCCATTCCAGATTCTTGTGGGTTTAACCATCCAACTATTTTTTTTTTCCAGACCCTCCTGATGACATGTTGACTTACATTTGCTCGATATCAGCGAAATGTTGCGTACAAACTCTAGGACTTAAGCATATATTCTGAAATATCTTTTACTATTAATAAAGTATGTTATGCTTTTATCAAATATTAACAGTAAAAAATACTATTAATAAAGCATCTTTTACTATTTTCGTTCCACATTACTACTTTGAGTATCCTCTAACAATTCCATGGGCTGGTCTGCTTAAGAACCGTGCCCAAAACTGCAAATAAATGTAACACCCAGTCTATGTTGAGACATTTGATTGGTTAGTGCATTATTGCACAAGTGATGGATCTCAACGTGTGAGCATCATATATGCTATTTAATATAATAAAATTTTATTTCAATTTTGGAAAAAAGGGAAAAATATAGGATCCAATCTTTCAGGACATGAATTTCTTTGACATTGTAAAACACTCCTATCTTCAGCATGAAAATTCTATCTTTTGTATTCCTAGTGATATCTCAATAGGTTGGATTATGGATTTCCTCATTGTGCAATGGAATTGTGTTGCAATGGTAGAAAATTTATGATATATATATATACATATATATATGTATATATATACATATGTATATATGTATTTATGTATATATATATATATGTATATATGTATATATATATGTATATATGTATATATGTATATATGTATATATGTATATATATATACACATACACACACACACACACACACAAACACACACACACACACACACACATATATACATATATATATCATGCATATATGTTGGATATTACCAAGCTAATTATGAAATTCATGTTGGTGGTAATTATTTGTGATAATTTATTGACGACAGATAAATCCTAAAATCCACAGAAAAGAACCAAGTCATTTCTGCCAGCACATCCTGGGTTATATGGTTTCTGAATATCAGATTTATTTTCTTTTATTTTGTGTTCAACCATAACTAAATGCTGTATACAACCTTTTAGATCTAGCTTTCAAGCATGTTTAAAAGTTCCACACTTGGATATGAACAACCACATAACTTGGATTGACTTGCAGCAATTGATGCTCCTGGAGGCTTCCTTTTCGAGTGGTGGTCTGTATTTTGGGATATTTTCATTTCTAGAACAAATGAAAAACATTCTCAAGTAGCTGCAGCATACATAGAGGTAGCTTCCTTGGAGATAATCTCTTTTCAATTTTTAATATTCTCTGGTCTAGAATGGTTACTCCAAGAAATCTTCTGTCAAAACTTCAGACACAGCGGGCAAAAGCAAAGGAAGAACATCAAAGACAGTTGCACATGCAGCAAGTGCAGATCCTGCAGCAGCAACAGGCACAATTTCAGAGAAGAAATGCTATTCATCCTTCATTCAATGGGGCAATGAATGCAACAAACATTACTGGCATTTCGGGACCACCAACAGCTAGTATAATGGCTGCTAAAATTTATGAAGAGCGCATGAAGCAGCCACAGTCAATGGATACTGCAATATCCTCACAATTTCTCGACGGTAATAGAGTTGCACTTCTCAGATCTGCAACCAACCATCCAGGGTATTGCCCAGTGTTTGAATCTCATCACTGTTACTAGGATGCTTAATAACAGGACCAATAAGTTGTTCTTTCTGATCTGGTTGCAGGCAGTTTATCCAAAGTCCCGTCAGTGGATCTGCTGCGATGCAACATATTCAGGGACAGAATCAACAGACATCTGTAATCTTTTGCGCCATCTGTCCCTTGTTTACCTTTTTTCTTTCCTTGTAGATTTTTGTTTATTCTGTCAACATATAACTATTGCAGGACATTAAGGGTGACATTGGTGCAATGCACAAATCTTTGCATAAGGATCCTTCTTCATTATATAGCCAAGGGATTATGCAGGCAAAATCTGGATTAGGTGGTGCTGGTAAGCAACTCCATTGGAAATTCATGAAAAGATTTCTCTTGCACGTATGTTATTGTTACAGAACAATTATATATAAGGATAGAAATCTTGAAAGTTTGACAAATTTGGACTTTAAGATATTGCATGGAGGGATCTCTAGATCATTAGGCTTTCCCTGAAGATACAAATTAAATAGTTAGATGTAAAAAAATCCTTATGATGTCACACATAGTGACATAGGATCTTAATTTTTTAAAATTAAGCACAATTTTTAATGATAATGTCAATTTCAAGACTTCATAAAGATTACCTTGTAGGTATTTTGAAATCCACAACGAAATGCTTGAAATGTTTAAAATCTTTAGAAGGTACATTTCATCAAGAAATCCTACTTCAAAGTTCAAAGTAATTATAAGTTAACACTGAAGTTTTGCCAAGAGCAGGTACTTTTGTTGATTTTGTAATGAAGTTTAATAGTTACAAGTAACCACAATCTGCAACTTGTGTTTTACTTGCACTTGCTGTTACAAATATTTAAAATCTGCAACTTGTGTTTACTTGCACTTTTTCCTGTTCCACAGGAACCCAAGGTGTTAGTGGTCTTCCGCTGAAAGGCTGGCCTTTGGCAGTAGGGTTATTGCTATTATCTTTGAAAATTTGTTTCTTTCCTTTATTTTATCAATTTTCATGTGTACCAATTTATCAATTTGATAGGGAATTGATCAATTATGTCAAAATTTTGGCCCACAAGTAAACAAGCCTTTTCTACCAAATCAAAGCCAGTTTCAGCTGCTATCACCAAACGAACAGCAGCAGAATTTAGCACAGGCCCAAGCACAAAGCAATATCGATTTGTCTAACTACGGTATGGATCATCGTAAGATTCGAGCCCTGCCTAGGAGTGGACTTGGTGGGAAAGATGGTCAGATGAATGGAAATGATGCATCAATTGGTTCTCCTAGCGAGTCAAGTTCGCCAAAGGTCAGACAGGATCAATCTATCATCAAGGTTAGTTCTCTTATGTTGCTTTTCATAGTGATTTACACTTAGAACATGTGGAATACATTTGACTTTGACTGACTTAGGTTGTAAAGATAGATATTGATTCAACCATCAAAAGAATAGGCTTTATTTCCTGCATATGTGTTTTTTTATTTATTTTCTGTTTTCTGTGCATGTGTGTTGCTCGGGAGGGCACCTTGCTCTCTTGCATATGTGAAAATCAGAATTTATGGCTTTTGAATTTATATGGGAGTGAAGCATGTCATTGAAGTGTGAACCATATGTTCAACTTTTGTTTTGCTTTTCACCTTCGTTAGCTGCTTCATCATAACTTTTCATAGAAAACTATTTGTTCATGGACAATATACTTGTCATGATTTAAGTTGATTGTTAATTTTGACCAATAAGGCTTGTTTGAGGAAATAAATGCAAGAAAAGTTGGGTGGAGGGTCACAGGCCTGCTGGATAAAATGGCAGATTTTTTCTTCAGTTGCTTTTGGCAAGCGATAGTCTGATAAGCCACGATGCTAAGGAGAAATTGTCTTTAGACATCAGAGTCCATGAATTAATAAGTTAAACGGATTACTTGCTAAAATATGCCTGCATGTGGTAAACGTTGAATAGGTAGCTTCTGTACAATTTGAGGGTAAGTTCGTGGATTTTCACAAAGCTTAAACAGACAGTCAGATCTTAATTTTGATGTTGTTGTTTAGTTGATATTTTAGTTTCTAGGAAAAGAAGCAAAAATTCAGGAGTTAAAGGATTGCAGGGTCAAGAAAAAGCACCAAGACCTAATGATAAGGATGTCCAAAAGTTGGTCAATAGGCCAACAACAAAAATTTATGGATAATTGGTATTCATTCGTTGATATCTAGCTTGGGATCAGTCCGAGTGCTATGAAAAACTCTTCTGAATATTCTATCTGTGGATAAAATGATGGATGAAGATATGGATTTTGTGCCAACATTCTTTAACAGAAGGCCTGGCATATCATGGAAACATATTTGCTGAGGAACTTTCTCGAGGTGTTGCAACTGGTGCATGTCCTTTTGAACCCTCTTGCTAAAGTTTGTAGTTTGATAACATTTTTCCATGCTTTTGAAGTGTAGGCCTTAAGCAAGTTCAAGTCAGATCTCATCACTGCAAACATGCATTAAATTACAAAGAGGGAAAAAGGAACTGTTGATGGTCTCAGCCATTTGATGCCCTGACTTCCCTATGATACACATACCAAAGACGAATGCAGAAAGAACTTTCCATGTGTTGTCTGCTCCAAACTTCTCTAGTATGTCTGTTGCTAATTTAGCATATTAATTTAGGTATCTCAAAGTTTTAGTCTCTTAAATATGATTATCCCTGCAATAACAGTTATCAAACATTGGCTATCAGACCTTTCTTTTTTTTAGTCATATTTTCAATGAGTTAGTTGCAGTAATGTAATATATACATTCTCTCTCTAAATGTATATATTTACATGAATATATGTTTCCTGTGTTGTAACTTTCCCTGTTTGCTAGTATTTATGAGATCATAATTTATTTAATTATGGTTTGGTACATTTCTTTAGGGTGGTTAGGGTATGTAACAAGTCATTTTATGTTGAATACCATGTCAGAGCTTCTTGACTTGCAGTTCTGTTCCATGCTGGAACATTGAGGTGCACTTATGATCCAGTTTACTTAAGCTTCTTCATATTTATCATTTTTTTATGTCTTGAATTCTTTTCTTCATGTCTTTATCGCTGGCTTCTGTGCTACTCAGTTATGCCTCCTAAAGATAGCATGACTGCCTTGCTAACAATTGCATGTTCTCATTTTAGGCATCCCAGATTCAGCAGTCATCTAATCAACAAACCCAGGAACTGGTGCAGCAACAACAGTTGCAACAGGTATTTGTGTAGATTTTTCCTCCCTCCTTTTCCTTTTCTTTTTCTGATATATATTGTGGTAGCATCTTATTGAGCATTTACACACCCTTATAGATTCATACTGATCGATGTGAAATTTTAACACAATTTCTAGAGTACTAGGAAGAGAAAATCTACCTCCTCTGGAGCTGCAAATAGTGCTGGTATGCCTTCTGCCAACTCCCCTCCATCAACTCCTTCCATTCATACAACTGGTGATGGAGTTTCGATGGCTAGCAATCTGCAAAATGCTAGTACCATGTCCAAAAGCTTGATGATGTATGGAGCTGATAGAACAGGTGGGCTTGCTTCTTCAAATCAGATGGTATGTCCAATTATTTCAGTGTTATTATCATGAAAGTGGAAGATAATGGTTTGGGACCATCTGATTAAGATGACTGGCTCTTCTGATTGCAGGATGACCTGGAACATTTTGGGGATGTTGGTTCTTTGGATGACAATGTTGAATCGTTTCTTTCAAATGATGAGGGAGACGGACGGGATATCTTTGCTGCATTGAAAAGTACTGCTGAGCACAATGCAGAATCTCTGAACGGTACCTGTTCTCTCTATTGGCTATTCAGTTTTATACCTCTACTAAATTACTTTTTAACATGTACAGAATCTCTGTCTTAGGTTTTACCTTTGGTGAGTATGGTTGCATCTGTACCAGTAACAGCAAAGTGGTTTCATGCCACTTCTCTTCAGATGGAAAGAGACTTGCTAGTGCTGGGCATGATAAAAAGGTGACGTTCATGTCAATTTCATTCATTTCAACTTGGTCGGGTACTATGTGGTTGGTGCAGCATAAATACCAGACTGATTTCCCTTCCTGACATAGATGTCGATTGTCATTGACTACTTATATTTTAAAGTTTTATCAAATTGTTACAATGTAGTCAGTTAATTTTTGCTTGATTGTGATTCTCATACAACTTGCTTTATTAGCTTTAAGAAAGTGTCATATAAATCATAAATTGAGCAAAAATACATATTAAATTTGTTTCCTGTTGGCTTCTGTGGAGACAGAACAAAATATTACTTAACTACACCCATATTCTTTTCTGACTGTTTATGCATTTCTCTTAACCATCATTAGGTTGTCAAGGAAATGATAGTTTCTTTGTGTTAAATAAGTTGCATATTATATTACTTCTGTTATCAACCATAATCAAAATTCTAAATTGTAACTGTTACATTTCACATCCATCTAGACAAATGGTTCAAGGGCATGATTTCATCAAGCAGATGGGCACATCTGATGATGTAGATTGTTCATTAAGATAAGGAATAAAGATGGCAATATCTATCAATTCTGTGGAATTACGTGTTAGTGTTTAGTTGAATAGCTCGGAAGATAGCTTTCAGGGGGATTAAAGCTCAAGTTGTTGCAAGTATGCATGTCCTTTCTAGCAATTGATGACTTGAGAGTTCTGGTGCATGTTACATAGTTTTCTTGGCATGCCACATGTGTTGGTAATGTGCTGACATAAGTTAGGATAACATTCATTTAGGGCCCTGTTTGGCAACATAGATGATATTAACTATGAGAAAAAAGGGTATTAAGGTATTCGATTTTTGCAACAACAAAATGTTACAGAAAGTATGTTTTTGCTTCGGTTGTAGTTCGAGTAAATAAAGGAATTTTAGAGAGTGAATTTTTGGGAGGGTACAGAGTGGGGAAGGTGTTCCAACAATATGACTAGTCATGACCTCTAACAATGGATTTGCCTCGTGGTTCTTGTCACATTCTGGCTTTGCCACCTACTACTCCATTGTTATTCATAGTTTCTACCATAATTGCTCTACCGAAGAAAGGAGAGCAGGAGGTGTTGAATCTCATATTGATGATGAAACCAATTGATAGTGTTTATGATTTGATATGCGTTTTGAATGACACAGAAAGCTTCGATCAAGGAGAGACAATGGAAGCAGGAAGAATCATGTTGGGCCGGAGAAAAAGTGTCAGAAGATTGGACGTCACACCGAAGGATCGGTCGATGTATCGACAGAAGGCTTCGGACCATGGTTTTGGGCATCGGGTCAAGAAGAGCGGATATTGCGCTAAGGATATCGGAGTTGCAGAGGTCAACTGGCCGATTGGGCAATCAGCCGCAAGAGAGGACGATGCGCTGAAGAATCGGACGAAGCGTCGATGAACCAATAACATGTCAGACAACATGATTCAAGCTTTGTAATAATTATCTAGATCGAAGTAGGTTTTTATGTGTGCAGGATTAACTACGATAGCAAGACATAAAGCAAAATGAAGTCTCGGAGTCAAGAACGTGATTTTGTTGGGAGTTCGAGAGTTCGTCGGAAGTCCAGATGTTCGTCGGAAGTTCTACCGGAATTGACCGAGAAGTCTAGGAGCTTGCCAAAGAAGTTCGTCGGAACTCGCTAAGAAGATCGTCGTGAAGTCCAAGAGCTTGTCGGGAGCCCGCTAGAACATTGCCGAGAGATCGTCGGAAGTTCGCCGGAAGAAACATAGACTTACGGACTTTGTTTAGCTTAGTAAATATCTTAGAATTCATAGTTAGCACATAATTGGGATTGGAATTGGGCCAACCCAATTAGGGGCCAGTTGGGCCCATGTATGGACTGTGTCGGGCCCAATGAAAGGCCCAAACAATGACCCAACAGGTGGCACAGTCTCCGAGACCGTGTCAGGCGGTGGTATCATCGGTCTGGGCGGTGGTACCGCCCAAACACAGTCTTCGAGAGGTTGTCAGGTGGTAGTACCGCCCAATGCAAGGTGTCAAGCAGTGGTACCACCAGACTGGGCGGTGGTACCGCCCAGTGTCAGTGTCAGACTGGCACTGACGGTGGTATCGCCCGTACCCGGGAGACCCGGGATGAGACATTTTTAGGCTCCAAGTTTGAATCAACTTGAGGCCTATAAATACCCCTCTCATCCTTGGTTAAAGTACACACAACCGAGAGCAAAAAAGGAAAGAAAACTCTGTTTTAATTGTGTGAACTCCTCTCAAAGTTCTAAGTGTTAGAATAGTTTGAGAGAGGAGTAAGTGGGGGTGTAAGGGTTATCTCCTAAACCTGGTAAAAGGAGAAAGAGCTGTAAAAAGTGGTTGGTCTTTGCCTATTGAAGGAAGACTGATAGTGGATGCCGGTGGCCTCGACGGAAGAGGAATCGGTGGAGTGGATGTAGGTCACGACGATCGAACCACTATAAAAATCTGGTTTGCATTTCTTTTGAGTAATTTACTTTAACTGCAAATTGCCTTCTCATTACTTGCTTTACATCCACTACACTCTTCGGTATGCTTTCAAGTTAACATCTTCCGAATTGGTTTTAATCGTAACGAATTTTTCAAAACCGACGTTTTTACCACTGCACTAATTCACCCCCCCCCTCTTAGTGCCGACTCGTTCCTAACAGGAGGGAGGCAGAGCATCTCTTTGACAAGATCCTTATATGCTGTTAGCACCATGGCGAGTAGATTGGAGCTAATGGAGTTTGTTTTTGGTTTGTGGTAGACATGATTTTGGTAGTGAGCAGAACGAAAGGGGTGGAGGGCTTCAATAGCAACACATGGTGAAGGGAGAAAGAAGATACAGAACATTTAACTCTTTATCCTTTTACTGTGGTGTGTTTGCCTTCAAAAACTTTCCCAAATGGTCAACTGTAAATAATTCCAACCCAAAGTGATATAACCATGGAAACTTGCAATACTCCAATAATCCCCTATTTGCTGACAGTCCTATAGCTTCTATCAGCATCAGCATACTCTTAGGGTCTATGTTGAGATCACATGTCACAGTATGGTTGCAACTCTTCATCATTTAAAACCATGGCCTAGAATTTATGATTATTGTTTTCTTGTCAAGCAATTGAAAAATGAAATGAGTTAATATTGTTTTGTTTCATAAAAGATATGCATGCATCTCATCTGATTGATTCATGTTGTTGACTCCCTATTCTTTTCCTGTTCTCAAGTTATCAGGTCCTCCTATGTTGTGTATTATCTATTGAATAGGTCTTCTTATCCAAAATGTGGTAGTGTGATGTCAATTTCAAGAAATCCAAATTTATTTTGCCATTTTGACTACGATTCTTGGTCTATTTTGTGAAGATATATGGTAGAAGACTTATGTTAATCTCATTTAATAGTGCAACTAAATACTAGATATAAACAACTTTTTTGGTCCAATTTTATGCAAATTTTGCAGTCCATTTTCTAAAAGTTCTGTTGCAATGTACTAAAAGTAGGAACTAAGTGCAAGCTCTTCATTGAGTCCCCATTTTATGCACTTTGGCATGATGGGAATTGTGCAAATCTTGAGCCATTGGATTTAGAACGTAGACAATAACATTTGATTTTGAATCTGGCATATGGGAGCAGTAAGTCTGTATATATTCTGGTGTAAAGATTATATATGAAGGAAAAAAACATGTTTTGTTCGAAAGAAAGTAATCATCTGGTTGACTGTAATAAAGGAGATGAAGCTCCTACAAGAAAAACCATATTCTGTGGGTTCATGTACAGGTAGAGATAGGTTCTTTTTTGTTGATTATAGTGGTGTTTTTCATATGATGATTCTCTCAGTTGTTTCCATGTTGCATATAAGTAACAATCTTAACTGCCATGGTTTATTTTTCATTGTTTCAGGTGCTTACCATCTTATATTTTATCTGTAATAGGTTGTCCTCTGGAACATGGATACAATGCAAACCATGAGCAGTTCCCAAGAGCATTCTCATATTATTACTGATGTCTGTTTTAGGCCAAACTCAAGTCAGCTGGCAACATCTTCTTTTGATAAAACTGTTCGACTATGGAATGCAGCAGAAGTATGTTTTTTAATCACCGTCATTATATTGCGGGTTTGTTAGTTGTTTAGTTATACTCACAAATTAGTGTATTAAATCATATCTAAAATTTTGACCTTATTAATTATTTCTAAGAACTTGTTTGTTAATTCTCAGGAATCCAATTAATACCCAGATTTGATTAGATATTATCCTAAAAAATATATCCGTATGTAGAGGTACCTGTCTTTTATCTTTTATACTTCTCTGTTGGAGCTTTTGTCTTAGGATTTCACATCAACAATTATGAAAGAAATTCATATCCATTTAAGTGCTCCTTGGTAGAGTTATCTTCTCTTGCCATTAAGCTCGATAAGGCATGCTCTTTGGTGATATGTAGGCAAAAAAACATTGTTCAAACTTTAAACTTATGTAGGTAGTTGGCCTTCCTTTATGTCTTTTGTGATTACTTCTTTGAAATTGACTTGCTTCTTTCTAGTGATCTGTTATTGGTCTCTGTTGGATGTGTTAAAACCACCAGCCACTCTTGTCACTTGGCTCAAAGTTGCAACAAGCATCGTCAGCTTTTTTCTTATCCTCTACCTTTTTAAAATAATAGATACCATCCATCTGTTGAAAAATCTAGATTTCCTTTTTTTTTTCTTAATCTATATAAATCTAATCATCTTTCTTGCCTGCAGAAATTTCCCTACTAATATGATCCGTACTTGGTTGTATCGGAGTCACAAGAAAATCAATTTAGCATCTCTTAACTTTTTATTTAAATAGTTGTTTCATTTTGTTTACTTTTGTGTTTTTGGTGTAAGATTGCTTCATTGATAGTCATATCCAATTTCTAAAATTGTAAGCTTAGAGGACATTCAAATTTTATTTATGTTTATGTCTTATTGTTACTCTGGTTATTCCTTTTATGCTGATTATATTCCCTTGTTTGTTTTGTAGTCAATTCATTGTTTAAATACTTTCACTGGGCACACCTCGCATGTAACATCAGTTGATTTTCATCCCAAAGAGATGGATATTTTATGCTCTTGTGATGACAATGGTGAGATCCGGTACTGGAGTTCTGACAAGTATATGTGTAAACGTGTTTCTAAGGTTGGTTCCATGGTATCTTTATGAATTCACTTGGTTGATCACAAAAGTTCGAAATTTTTTAGTCTTCTTTGCTGGTGAACCAGGGTGCTACAGTACAAGTGAGATTTCAGCCTAGAAGTGGACAGTTTCTGGCTGCAGCTGCAGAAAATGTTGTATCTATTTTTGATGTTGAGACGCATACAAAGACACGCACGTTGCAGGTCCATTTGACAAACTTTCTAACTTCTAGAACATAGTCAATCATTAGTTTGCTTCCATTGCTTATCAATCTCTCTCTATGCATCACAGGGTCATAAGAAGGAGGTCCACGCCATTTGCTGGGATGCAAATGGCAAAACTCTTGCTTCTGTTAGTCAGGACTTAGTTAAAGTATGGTCTTTGCAAACTTGGGAGTGTATCCATGAACTGAACTCCACCGGAAACCAGTTTCATTCATGCATCTTCCATCCAAGATGCCCCCAAATCTTGATTATTGGTGGCTATCAGGTATATCTATGTTAATCATATAATGTTGTATAAAGTAGTTTCAATGAATTCTCAGCTATCCTCTTTTAGTCGTTGAATAATTTGCTTTTTCCACTTAAGTATTGAATGTTGATATCAAGTTCTTTTAACAAATATAGTAGGCAAATAACAAGTACACTGCTCAAGTTTGTATGAAAAAGACTCCTCGCATACACTGTCCTAACCGTTCTCTGATTTATTATGCATTCTCAGAAAGCTGTTTTACCATTTAGATTATCATAAAAATAGTATCTTGATTAGAGCCTTATAAAGATGTGTTGAAAAAAGGGCGATTTCCTTAGAAAATACTCATATTTTGGGTATTTTCCAAACAGTACTCTAATTTGAAAAATACACAAAATATCTCTCAAAAGTTTTCTCGCAAATTTTTTCATTTGTTTTTTTTTTTAAAAAAATTTTCAATTGTTATAGTGTTTTCATTTCGATCGTTTATAGTGTTTTTTAATAGTGTCTATAGTGTGTCATTGAGGTACTAAAAATATTATAAATGTTATTGAAAAACATTGTAAGTGACATCATATTGTGTCTATTTGATTGTCATTGCTCATAGACCATTATAATATTATATTTTTAGGCTTGTAACTAGTTTGGTTTAAGTTGGGAGTCCATTTAAATCATTTACAGTGTTTTCGAGTAAGTCATATAGGATTTTTATTGTGGTAGTCAAAACAGTATAACAAGCCAAAAATACTGTGACAAGTGAAAACACTACTGTAACAGGCAGGAACTGCTTATATAGATTTCCTTGGTTACTGAGCGCTCTTTCAATTTATGCAGACAATAGAGCTGTGGGACATCATTGGGACAAAGAGCAGCGGAATTCAAGCGCATGAAGGTGTTATTGCAGCCTTGGCGCAATCACACTCGACTGGATTGGTCGCATCTGCTAGCCACGACAAATCTGTTAAATTATGGAAATAGTGGTAGCTGCAATCAGGGGATAGATGGACATAAGGTGCTTCTTCTTAGTGGTGTTTATATTAGTTCTTGATTTGATTTGTAGCTCCAGGGACAATAAAACAGAAAGCCCGACAGTCTCTTGGTGGTCTTTATATGTGAGTTTGCAACTTTACTCGTCTAGGGAGTTAACACTAGACTTTGGAAGAGGGAACAGTATTTGGTCCTTTTTCTCTCATCTTCATTTTCTTTCTTAAGGTAGCTTCAAAGATATGTATCACTGTCAAT